GGCGCCACCTCGGCGCCCTGTCAATGCCCCGGTCATTGAGCCGGGGCATCCATCATTTCCCAAATTATTATTATTTTGCTATTCTTGGTAATAGGAACTCTGATTTGCAGGTCTTCTCACTATAAAATGCATATGGCTCATTTTCAAGTGTTACTCATATTACTCAATTCTTTCAAGCCACAATCCTTTCCAGAGAGATGCAGAGTCAAATGTCTACATTTCTTCCCAAGTATTTACACCAGGAAGAAGTTGTGGCACAAGAATATAAAGACCTAATACTTTCATTGCCCAAAGAAAGTGGATGGGTTGCCTCTTCTCTCTACAAATATCAAGGCTTTTGGCACCCGGTCAGGCACCTTCAAGGGATCATTACATGTCAACGACATTTCCAGGCTCGGGATTCTGATTTTATTCTTGTTACAACTCCCAAATCAGGGACGACCTGGTTGAAGGCAATCGTGTTTACCTTAATGAATCGAATGCAATACCATATTTCACAAGATCACCCTTTACTCAGCAAAAATCCGCATGATCTTGTGCTATTCTTGGAACATAGACTCTACGTTGATAATCAAATCCCTGATCTTTCCTCCATGAATTCTCCCAGGCTGTTTGCAACCCATATACCATTTTCTTCCATCCCGAAATCTATGAAGGATTCTGGATGTAAGCTTGTCTATCTGTGTAGAAATCCTAAGGACACTTTTGTGTCCATGTGGCAATTCTGTAACAAGTTAAGGCCACAGGAATCGGGAACTCATTCACTTGGAGAAACTTTTGATATGTTCTGTAGAGGAGTGAGTATGGCTGGACCCTTTTGGGACCATGTTTTAGATTATTGGAAAGAAAGCAGGGAGAATCCTCACAAGGTAATGTAGAACTGCTTCATGTAAACGCTCAAGGTCACAGATGAGGTGATAAATTTGATCATAGTTCCTCACAATCAATCCCAAATTCATTTTTTCATAAGTCTTGAGTTTCATCATTCATGGATTGATGCTTTTATGTCATACTAGGTTTCATTGTCTTGTTAGGCAAATTCTTATCTCTCTTTCTATATATAGACTTTATATCTCTTGTAGTCAATATCCATAGAATCACGATTTGCTTCAGAATTTTATTTTTTTCTTCTTTTGTTTCCTAATACCCCATGTACTATTAGAATCCCACATTATTT